CAAGCCAAGAGGGGCAAGATAAGTGGAAGCTGGGGATTCATTCATGAGCTCGCCAGCTAGCATGTCCGTGCTCCCGCCTAGGAGTCCATGAATAAATAAACGAATGAATGAACAAATGAATGAATAAATTAATAAACGGATGAATGCATGGATCGGGTACAGCCACAGCGGTGGTAGGCGGGGACGGGGCGGGCCAGTAGGGATGGAGGGAGCCCAGTGGGGCAGAGTACCTTGGTTCCAGGCTCTGACGGTGTTGGGTTTGGGTTAATGAGTTAAATAGCAATTATCGTGTGTTACATGAAATAGAAATTGTGCAATAAGAAGTGTCTGGAGATCTACAAATATGACACTAGCTAACAATCTAAGCAATAGAGCAGAGGATACCTTAAATGCCCTTCCCTGATAATGAGATTGATGACTGACTTACGTGCCACCCGATAGCCCTCATCTAGCAGCAGGTGGAAGTAGAAGCAGACACCCACAACTACTCACTGAACTGAACTGGAAGCCAGTTGCAGAAAAGGAAAAGTGATGAGAAGAGGGGTGCAGCCCAGACTGCTGAAACCCACATGAACAGCTGACCTGAACATCGGGGAGCTATTGGTCCCCAGACTGATAGCTGGGAAACCAGCATGAGACTGATGCAGAACCCAGGAAAATGGGTTTTAGTGAGGAAAACTCGGAAATCTACAGAACCTCAGGTAGTAGTAGTTTAATGCTTATCCCTAGCATGTGTGTACACTTTGGGAGCCCATTCTACATGGAGGAATACTCCCTGAGTATTGACTCCCTGAGTCAAGACACATGGGGGTGGCCCTAGGCCCTATCCCAAATGATACGATAGACTCTGATGACAACCTATGGAAGGCCTCACCCTCCAGAGGGAGGGAAAAGAATATATGATAGGTTGGTTCTAGTTGGGGGGGGTGATAGGGGAGGATGGGAGGGAGACGGGAACTGGGATTTTCATGTAAAACAATCTTGTTTATAATTCAAATAAAAAAGAAAAGCAAAAAAAATACAACTCCTGCTCCCACTGTTAGAAGTCCCACAAAAAAAAAGAAATAAAGAATGGCTATAATTGAAAACTAGGTTTTCTATTAAAAACACATGATGATCAAGTTCACAAGCCTATGTATAAATTGTACTTGTATAATGGAAATTTGTCAGGATTTCCCAAATTTCCTCTCTAAAGGGTAATGAATCATGTACTGACTAAGTTTTTGTTTGTATAGCTATAAAGAGACACTATGTACATGGGTAATATTTTATTTTCTTTTTTGAGACAGGTTTTCTCTGTGGCTTTGGAGGCTGTCCTGGAATTAGCTCTTGTAGACCAGTCTGGTATCAAATTCACAGATACCCACCTGCTTCTGAATCCTCAGTGCTGGGATTAAATGCATGCACCACTACACTCTGGCTATGGCTAATTTTTTACCACTGGCAAAGGGAAGAGGCCTCGGGAAATGTTCAGGGCATGAGCATATATAATATCTCAGTATGCACCTCCTCCCAGTGACACAATTGCTGCAACAATTTCATACTTAGAGCAACAAAGAGCAACCTCATAAGAGTGCCAATCCCTATGAGCTTCTGGGGGCAATTACATTCAGACTAGGACAGGTACTATGCATTAATGTTCACAAGGAAGTATGATATGTCCTTTTGTATGAGTGAATAATGAATCCATCCTAACGAGAAAGACTAAATTTTAAGTTCGTTTTCACACCAGAATTTATTAGACTATGAAATTTTGCTGGGCACACCTAAGGACCAATGATAAATTACATGAGGTACACAGCTTTCATTTCACACAATTTGGAAATAATTTACACATTGTGGATTAACCTCCATTTGGACAGAGAGGCTAGTGAGGAAATTTTTAACACTAGTTATATTTTTTGAGAAGCCTGTTTTAACAACTTTGCTTCCAATGAATTTTGCATGTTAAACTTTTATTTTTCCTGCTTTTTCATGTGCTTAATATAAGCCATACCATCATTAATTCGGAGGCATTCTACTGTATTTTTGGTATTAATGGTCAAACATAGATGTGGATCAGAATCCTGATTGTATTGAGCATAGTAAATGAATGTCTTTTAGACATGTAAAAATATCTTAGTCAATACCACTACTACACCCAAAACTGTCCCAGAGAAGCAGAACCCAGTGACACACATATTCTCAATGAGCAGACACAGTACTAGAACCTCCCGACACCCGTGGTCTTTACATTCCTTCCTTGGAGAACATTATGTTTTTGAAAGATAAAACAAAACCTTCTTCAACATACCTTTGCAGATTTCTAGTTTTGGCAAATTATATTTAATCCAATAAACACATGTTAGTCCATGAATTAGTTTATTTTGAACTACTGTTTGATGAACTACTGTCTGTTTTAAGAAATCTTTTATTGTTTGAATACAATAATCTTTATCATTTTCAATGGTCACTGGGTTCCCTCCACCCTCCCCTGAAAACAAAAGCAAAATCTCTTCCCTGATGTAACACATATGTTAGTTTTTATCATGAGCTCAAAGTATCTCTAAAGAATATAGGTGCTTTAAATGAGCAGTTTCTTTTTTTATCTAATATCACCCAATAATGTTTCCTTTTCAGAACATTTGAAAAATATAAAGTTAGTGATCTATTATTTAATCTATCTCTGGAAGTCTAAATTACCCCTTTTAGTTTACTGAGCATATATTTTAAGGAACTTCATAAAGTGTTAATATAAGTAATCTATTTTTTTGTTTTGGTTTTTGAGGCAGGGATTCTCTGTTGCTTTGGAGGCTCTCTTGGAAACAGCTCTTTCAGACCAGGCTGGTCTCACAAAGATCCACCTACCACTTCTTTCCAAGTGCTGGTATTAAATGTTGCATGAACACCATCTGGCATAAGTATTCTTTATTAAGAAAAAAATCAGCGATGGTTGTGCACCCTTGTAATCCCAGCACTTGGGAGTTAGAGGCAGGTGGATCTCTGTGAGTTTGAGACCAGCCTGGTCTACAAGAGCTAGTTCCAGGACAGGCTCCAAAGCCACCGAGAAACCCTGTTTGAAAAACCAAAAAAAAAAAAAGAAAGAAAAAAATCAAAAGCTAGATATGGGGTAAGAACCTGAATGATCAGAGAACCACTTGAGCAGCCATCAGTGATTCCTACATTTTCCATTTCTCAATCTAAAACAGAGAAAGATCCTCTCTCAGCTCCTCTTTACTAATTCCTGTCTCCAATCTCTCCACAGTTTTCCAAACCTCTGTTATTTTTTGGTCAGTTAAAAGGTACCTCTGGTCTCTGATGCCACACAAGCTTTATTATAAAAATATGATCAAAATACCACAGGAATTCCTATCTATCTCACACGTTTGACACTTCCATTCCTCATATGAAAGTCTCCATGGCAGATGTCTCATAGCATGGATATCTTGACATCTTGTGTTCTCAAATTCAACACAGTTTCATCTTTACTGCTTCATGCAATGAACTCTCACAGACTCTTCATTTGGGCTCTAACTGTCCAAAACATAGATGTGTACTATAGTGAAGAACTGACCATAGAAGAAGAATCCATCATCTTTATATTTGCATCTTGATTGTTTGCAAAGTAAGTTAAAAAGTAGGTGAATCTGCCAGGATTTTATGGACCCTACAAAGCTTGAATGAAATTTGCCAGTTTTTGAATAATGTTGCTCCTGAGACAATGAATTGCTTTGTCTACTCCTTCAGTAAGGTTAGGGCATTGCAGGATAGAGCTGTAACCTTGGGATTCCTCTCTAGGCTCTAAATGAAGAGCAGGGCCCTTTCTCTTTTTCTCCAACATAGAATAAAACTATGTTTTCCCTCCTCCCAACAGTTTATTTATGAGGATAGTAGCCATTCTTCAGTTTTTAAACCCAAGTTAGTTTGGTAATGATGTCTCAACAAAAATTCTTTCCACTTATAGTGTCAGTAAACTGACTATTACAAAAAAATTAAATACATTGTAATTTTAAAGGCCTTTGGACTGTGTTTACTAGTGACCAGGCTGCTGGTGCATCTTGGGAGAGATTAAACCTCACTGGGTAAGGGGAAAAGGAGTTCAAGTTCCATTCCTGTGTGCATGCAAAAAACATCAAAACAGCAAAGTTACTCCAACTAGCTTGTACTCAGCTGTGCTTTCTGCCAGAAGAAGGTACAAGTAATGAGTTTTGAAGACTTGGAGTATTTGAGCTTAGTGAAGGATTTCAATTTCCCAGCTAAGAACCCACATTTACTGGGCTCCAGTGATGTTTCAAAATACCAGTACACTTCCAATTGTCCATGTAAATAGCTTTCCACAACCTCACGCAGCCGTCATCTCCTGAGGATGCTAGCACTGTTCCTGTTATGTTCCAACTCACCCTCCAGACCTGAGAGTTGTGATCATCAAACTGAGCCAAGATATGGATTTCAAATTTTCTGTGACCACCAGAAGAAGTAAGTTCTTTACTCACAGGTTTTAATGTGAAAATTCTTACATCTTTGGTGGCTATTGCCAGGATGTGGAAAGATCTCCCCAAATTTGGAGCAAAAGCAATATCATGAACAGGATCTGTTACTGTCATAAGAATTTCTGCTTTTGAGTATTTCTTGGTGTTTTCATTGTACTCAAAAATTTGAACCTTTGCCATTGCCTTTGGACTGTTGTCATTACTTCCCACAGCGATCATTGGGGAGTGAGCACGAGAGACAGAAGGGTTCCAAGAAATACAGCTGCAGCTCAGCTTACATGAGATCTCGTGCTGTAGAGACCACTGGCTGAGATTCATAACATCTGGGGCCTCATATATTCTTACTATGCCATCTGCTGAACAGGTTGCTAACATCAGACCCATATGTTTGGGAGCAAATTTCACATCAGTAACAGATGTTCTACTGTCCAGTAGAGTT